CAGTGAAAAAAAAACCTGTTCATAAAGCCGCGCCAACACCAACCCCCCCCAAAACGGCCGTAAACAAAAAAACAGCACAGGGCCCACAAAGCCGCGCCAACACCAACACCATAAAACCCCACAGTCGTAAACAAAATCGCGCCGGGCCCACAGTGAACTGAGGCCGCGCGGGAAAAAGGTCTTAGCGGGACGCGTCACGCGAGACCCGCTGTTGCCCTTCAGAGTATACGGATTATATTTTGTCTGCTCTCTCAACGACACTCATTCATATGCGTTTACTAGAAGTACACAAAGAGAGGGAGTAGACAATGGGGAGGAGGAAAAAATAAAAATAGATAGATAGATAGATAGATAGATAGATAGATAGATAGATAGATAGATAGACATACATATATTTGGGTTTCCTCGGCATTGATTCCCTCAGGTAGATCATCACAGAATGACATTGGGCAAGTGTTTTGGGTTTCCTCGGCATTGATTCCCTCTCCATGGACCAACGACGACGATGACTGTGGCAAGAGGGGTTCATCCAAAACAAGGGTGTCCAGCTGCTGCAGGATTTGTTCTGCAACAGTTCATCCTGGTGGTGTTAGCCCTTCAACACAGTGCTCTATAAGCGGCTCATGTGGTACTCTATTTTCCTGCTCAGGCTGTTGAGTTTGCTGTTTGTCGGCCAAGAAAGAAGGAGATCCGACGGCATTTGCAGTAATGTATGCCCAACTCTGCATGTGGGACATGCTAAGAGAGGATGTGGTGGATGATGGCACTGTGGACAGTCCACGCAGTAGAGGCACATGCTTTCTATGACAATGTCCTGGAAACATTGATGACACATGGCATGTTGCTGACATGTCAGCAGGAAGGCAGGCTGACGTTCGAAGCTATGTAAGCATGGCAGATTAAGACCACAACGGCATATTGGGCAGTGTATCTTCCCATGCTCTAATGGAAGATTGCTGCCCACTAATAGATGGAGTCTCCCCTATGGAGTTAGAAGTGGCTTCTCATATCAACACTGCTAACATCCAAAAGGGAGTTTCAATAAATAAAAAGAAATAGTAAATAGTAATAATAATAATAATAATAATAATAATAAAATACTCATAGTGGAAGATGCCTTCTCATTTTCCATGCTGTTCACCTGTCCCCGATCCCAATAGTGGACGGCATGCAAATTGAGAATGAATCTGCCGCTAGACGGCATGCAAATTGAGAATGAATCTGCCGTTAGACGGCATGCAAATTGCGAATGAATCTGCCGCTAGAACATGGGAAAATACACCGCCATTTTTTGCTCTTTCGCAGAGAAAAGATATGGTGGTGTAATGGGGACACTCGTCACTTGATCCAGTGAAATCCCCGATCCTGACATGTGGATGACATGCAAAATGAGAACCGGTAGAACATGGGAACATACACCGCCATATTTTTTGTGTTTTGCAGTCAAACAATATTGCGGTTTATCTTCCCAAGTTTTAGCAAAAAAATCTCTCTCTCTCTCTCTCTCTCTCTCTCTCTCTCTCTCTCTCTCTCTCTCTCTCTCTCTCTCTCTCTCTCTCACCCCCCTCCTTCGCAATGGCCAGGGGGTTGTATTGAAAAGATGACGTGGGTCGGGAGGGATAAATTGAAATTTAATTGAGCCCTTGAAAAGTGGGCACGTATGAGGGTATTTTGAAAAGTTGGACTGGTACCCGGTAGGTGTATATTGCACAGATGGTCAGTCCAACTGATGCGAAGGGTTTGCAAAGGTTTTTAATTGTCATTAGGGTATTCCACTCTACCCATAACTTTTTAGGGGCATTTTGGCATATATCTTGACTTTGAGGGGTATCACACAAAACTTCCCTTTTTTTAAAGGAGACTTCAATAAGTTCAATTCACTGAGCTTGTGACAGAGCTACACAACAGAGCAATCATCACATCAAATCGAACACGTCATTATGAAAGACGATTTGAATATAAAGGTTTTTAGGTGTAAATCTGCTCCAAACGCACACTGCCAGAACTTCTCACCTGGCTGAATGCCGAGCCGACTTCACAACAGGCTGTGTTTCAGCAAGCCCTTCATCTTTACCAACAAAACAAAAGTGAAAAAGAGGAGAGGAAAGCGAGATTGCTGACCTTCCTTACTTCATCAATGTGGTATTGCCAGACACTGGTGTGTAATGCCTACAATGTGTGCCTGTCCACACCACAGACACACACAGACATGCACCCTCACACACAAATTGCGATGTGTGTCTGCTTGCACCTTTCTCTGTGCCTCTCTCTCTCTCTCTCTCTCTCTCTCTCTCTCTCTCTCTCTCTCTCTCTCTCTCTCTCTCTCTCTCTCTCT